CTTGTTAATTCCTTAAAAACTCAAGTGGGGAGCATTGTTCAGAGACCGCCTCCCTCGTCTGAACAATACGGAACCAGAAGTGTCGAGTCACTGACCCTAGCTAAATTATGATCGCAAAAAGCTGATTTTAATATATTCTTAATGACGAAAAAATGTTTTCTGCCCTAGACTACATTATCATGCACAAGATTAATAGTTAACTTTTAAATGAAGTTATGATGAGGTAGTTATAGCAGATATGCCTTAGATAAATAATTAATATCAATTCAATATTTTTATTACAAGGTGGCAACAAAGAATGTGTAGGTAAGTTGTCGCTAGATAGCTCATTAGTTGTTTCGATGATAGTAAGTATCGATGTGCCGACATAATTTATATTGCAGAACAATCTCTGGCCGTTTGCCAACGTCTACTAAAGGGGAGTTGTGTATTCATGGCGTGCAAACAATCAACCTGTCGGATAACACATGTAAATACCTACGCACAGCATTTAATTTATTGTTTAGCCTCACAAATTGGTCACAGCGTAAACAAAAGGCTTTTGAACTCGCAAAGATTAAAAAAAAAACTTTGGCCATTCAACCAAATTGGGTAGATAGATACGATGATCATGATTCTCAACAATCGTAACACAGCTTGATTTTATATTTATCATAAGCAAAATTAGTATATTCGTGGCTGGTCACGTGCTTAAGTGAAAAGGCATCATTAAGTAACTTTAAAATAAAAGTTCATTAACAAAGCATTGTCTTTTAAAGTTCGCTCCTAACGAAGCTGCGGAAACACAAACAGCATAACAAATAACTGGGAGCCTTTCCTTGTTACAAATATTTTATACCCAAAGAACCAAAAATAAGGAAATAAATTGGCCCGATATCGTTACATGCTCATTACGAAGTATAAGGGCGATGGAGAGGTTGATGACAAAAACTTTCATTCCAACGAACATCACGTTTCACTTGTAATAACGAGCACAATGGCCCGACTTTATGGAACCATGACACATAATCTATAACTTCTGCCATCAAGTTGGAAATAAAATAGTGAAGCTGCCTAAGTAATTTACAGTTATTGAGCTTACTCTCGATAGACCTAGTATAAAACGCCGGATTGATTGGAGTAGAGCAACAGATTTTAAGAAAGTGTTTTTTTCGCATATCGTTCGAAGACCTTTAGCATTTTCTCTTTTTACCTAAATCCAAAACTTGGCAGGCAGGTTTTGAGAAAGCTAAATGCCAGCGATTTTTGCTATCGGACACATTGTAATTATCTGTTTGTAGTCTCACTTTCGCACAGATTTATTTATATGCAGGCAGCTACTAACAACCTAGGTAGTTATATTTAATTTCGGTTAATTTATTAATCATATGTGCATGTAAGTACCCAGTTAAAATGAAAGGACGGACCACAATATTGAAGTAAACAGTCCGCAACAAACAATAGTGTAAGACATTGAATTACGATTTCTCTGGCGCATTTGTGGCCACCTGGTCAACGTAAACCGATATTTTTATATGCGATCGTAAATTATTCGCGGTATACAGCGTAGAATGTAGCTCGACCGTTAACCGCAAGCTTACAACCGCGTATTGTTTACATTATAAACATATTGCAAACTTCAAAGGGAGCATGTGTATCGATATGTCATTGGTAATGGCATATGCGATATGCAGATAAGCTGATAGAGCGTACAGCTTTAGTATCTCTACGATTATCGAGCGTTACAATTTGAGTAACCTCCAGTTACAAGGTGGAACTAAAGATAGCGTATAGATCAATACAAAACGTAATTAAGCCAAATCCAAAATCATTAGATATCTAATATTTATCGATAGGCTTCGAAATAACATTAGACCATTATGCACTTTCATCGGTTGTTTAAGTCTCATGCCTAATACCAAATTTTATCTATCGCTAATTATATAATTTGGTAGATACTAATATTATAATAGGGGCGTAACATACACCACTATAACAAAATTATCAATAGCTTATCTATATATTTATTAGGAATTTAGTTTTATTTATTTCTGTTAAGAATGAAATGATAAGAATGAAAATAATGAAAATCATTCAATAATATAATGACTTCGATTTAGATCACTTGAACGGCTAAAGAAAGTTCATTTACATTTCAAGAATTCGTTATAATGGCATGAAGTCTAGAACTTTATTAACGTCCGAGTTTAAAAGATATATTATTTCCTTGTTATCTCTTCATTTATTTAGGATTGCACTATCGCTGCTCTTCGACACTTCTACTTTCAAAGCAGTTTGTTTGGATCCATTAAATTGTTTATTTATAGCTAACGACATTACTGATATGTAGCAAGAATATCTTGACAAGACTTATTATTCTGTTATTATCTGGGACAAATATTAAATTGCCGAAAACCGTCTTCCATTGTACTAACCGCTTGCTTAATACCTCACCATTAATAAATCAAACTGTGTGAGTTCATTATTGTATGTGGTTAGCTATTAAACGCGGTTTTCTATAAACTGTTTGAAATGAATCTGCTAAATTTGCAACAGTAAATTAACATGAGAAAAAAATTGGAAAACTTAGGCCCTATGAAACTTAAGCATATTATTGTAAAATACTTATAGGAAAATGTAGGTTCTTAATAACCCTCAGAGGTGATCATTTTTGAAAAAGTGATATAGCAGAGACACTGCAGGTAATATTGATTGTAATGATGTAGCTACAATATGCGAATAATGTTTTGGGTGTAAGACACTTAGGTATTAAAACTGTCCTTCCTTGTGTTTCCTAGGTCAAAAATAAATTAAATCGTCGTTTCAATACAATAAAACCTTAAAAAAATTACTATACATCTATCATCGATCTGTCGATACAAGATAAGTATGGGAGAGCCAAGCTTCGGCATGAATGGGCCGGCTCGACCGGAGTGATACTACGGCCTCACAGAAAACCGGCGTGAAACAATCACAGCATTGTGTTTCGCCGTGTGAGTGAGGTTACCGGGGGCCCAATGCCTCCCCCTCCCCATTCATTCACAATCCTTAAATATCCTAAACCTTTATCCCTAGAAGGCCGGCAACTCCTTTGATGTTGCGGGAGTCCATGGGCGGCGTTGATTGCTTACCATCAGGTAATTCGTCTGCTCGTTTGCCGACCTATACCATTTGCCATTTTATACAAATTTCATAGCAGACAACCGGTTTTGACATTTGGATAAAAGTATTGTATAAAACAATCTAAATATTAATAATTCTATTGTACCTACTTCAACAATCTAATTAATAACCGCATTTGTAATGAACAGGTTTAGGTCATTTTGTGGTTTTTGTAAATCATCTGTGTGGTGGTTTGTCCCATTTAAAGATAACAACTTAACAAACAATTTCGTTTAGTAGTGAAGTTACTTGAGATAACAGAAATAATTACATGAGACGAGGTCAGTCAGTATCTCGGTATGATTAGGTCATACCTACTTAGGGGGAAACCATTGGGGATATGTAATAAATTAGTTAGTAGGTCTCTCCACTCAATAACGGCTTGTACGTATGTTCTATTGTACTTATATGTATACTGTTTATAAAAATTATAAATGTCTAATAAGCATAGATAATTATGTTTATAAGACATAGGTCCTTGTATAATATTGATATTTTCAAACATGGAAAGTTGCAAATTAATATCCACAATCGTCGCTACGAATCCACCATAAGCTGAGCAAGACTTAGGTACAGTAGATATCTACCAACTATTTCTATATTTTTGCGAAAAACAAAAAAAAAACAATATGAAATGTACCTATGTAGATAGGGACCTATCTTTAACTAACACACCTGAGCGCCAATAAACCCTTTTACTTATAGCAAATTCTGTACCTATAGATTTAAGTATTTTTATATACATTTTATTTTATAGAGACATTGCCCATTATTTTATTTTATGAAGGTAGTTTTTATGACTGACGTAAAACTTATATAGCTACCTATAACGTGGTATAATTTTCAATAAATAAATAATTTAAGTATAAAAACAGTCAGTGTGGCCACAGGTTTGTCCTTGATTTCGACCACCTTTAGAAAACTTATTTCCCGAAGACAAAGCAGAATGTATGAAGTCTATTCACTGCCCAGTCGAGCGCACACTGTATAATGGGCTGCCTATTTATAATAGCTTTAGAGGCTCAGAGCCATTCAGTGGACATGGAGGACGCCAGCATCGCTCCATTTAACATACGCGCATGCTTCACGTCACCAAGGCTGGGGCTAAGACGGCTCTAAACGGGGTCGGCGAATTAAAACAAATCATACATTCATACCTTCAATTTAATAACCCAAACTTCGTGAGCATTCACCAGCTTTGCAACAAAATATAAACAAACGTCAATCTCTCGAGTTAAATATTGTAACACTTCCCCATAACATTCTTGAAAGTGTATCATTTTATAAATAACCACGTGATAGTCGTCGTCTGACCTACTAAATAAGCGGGGTGTCGAAATCTGTATAGTTATTTAGCTGTAAATTTTTCGCAGAGATTGTTGAACCCAGGTCTCCAATTATTGAGTAGGTACCTAGAAATCCTCGGCAGATTCTTCCAAAGCTCAGTTCGAAGCAAACAATAGTAGTAATATCGTTATCTCCACATGCCCTTATCGTTGTATATAAACAAAGTAAATAAGAGCAGTGACTATCGACCAGTATGTCCTTCAGTTTTGATGTGTACTACCCATTATTATTGAATTGCCAATATTTGTCGCGTCTAACTCGATAATGGTTCTCATCGTGGCTAGCGCGCCGGTGTCACGGCACTCGGCCGGATTCTAGACTAGCAATAAAGTCGAATACTTTGACTAGTCTTTTGACTTGTATTTAATAAAAACAAGACAGTTAAACAAATATTTATCCCCTAATCAAAAATACTCATATTAATTATAGCGTTAACTCCTTCCTACCATTTCGAAAAGCATTTTTCACGGATTTTATGAAAAAGTCTGAGAACAAAACAACGATCAACTTACCGCAGATAGGAGTAGCGAAGATATTGTACCGGTGACCATTATTGCTTTTTCCTTCAATAGATTATTACAACATAGCACTGGTTTGTACGACATTCACTATTTACATAATAAATCTATAATGCCTAATTTTGTTCATAACGATAACAACACAACAGTATTTCACACTTCAGGTTCAATATTTATGAATTAGAAGTTGTCACAAGGAACGTTTGACATTGATCTACACATCAATTACACATTCCGTTGGTGTACTTATTAATCACATGAAAGCAGATGTCCAGATATGTTCCATGACTTTTTTATAAGATGCCGGAAAAACGACCAAATTTTGTATTATCTAAGTTACTTAAACAATGAAATTAGGACAATACCGATTCGAGGAAAAAATCACTTAAGACGGATTAAGATTTTCGACAGATTGCGATGTATATTTTCAGTGAAATTCACGGATGATACCGTGTTCAAACATGAGTGTTTGCGCGCGCCCTGGAATCGACCGGGCGTCCCGCCGCGCCACTGAGGCATCTCGCGAGGCTCCCGGCCCGCGGCAGTCTCGCGCATGCGTGCTGCGCGCCACCCACGCCTGTCTCCTCCAGCACACTGCGAGCTTTACATTACTCGCTCACACACTCGCGCCGCACGTTGTTGCGTTCCACGTATAGCAATAAGCAGCGTGTGCGCGTTATAAACGGACACCGCAATGAGTGCCCACTGACCAGAGATAGGACACCAATCACAAATATGACGTCACCAGTTGGCTTGCTACTATAAGGCAGAGGTATCCATTCCGTCGTATTAATCAACTAGTAACTACGACCCGTAAAGCGGCCAGTGTAACGTATAGTATCGTATAACCAGTAGTGTTTATGGTCCAGTATCGTAAAGGTGTCCTCTTACTAAGTTACTACTGCTTATTACGATCGAGCCATGAAGGCATCGTGTATTTTGTTACCAATATTACGTATTGTGTTACCATTGCCTAGATATTTACCTAGGCTGATTGCTGCTTTTTGAAAATGCATTATCTTCGGCATACCAATACCCACAAATAGTTTTTGTAACACACTATGAAGAATTTCTTTCTAGGAAATATTTTTACAAATAAATGCTAAAAAAGGCGACTTCACAAACCCTCATTCATATAATCAACCTCTTATAATGAAGTCGTTACAAAATTTTACGTAGTTAATAATATTAATTAGTATGATCTTGAACAAGTTACGTGTCGTGTAATGATACAAACCTCTTTCCACATGCTCAAAATACAATTTGAACTTATTTTCTTACTGATCTCCATCTACGTCTCTATATTTCACAAAGATTACCTGGCGTTCAGTGCTTTTAACATAAGGCCTGTTTCGTGACTACCATATATTTTTTAATTAACCTGTTAGGATACAGGAATATATATCCTATTTATTTATTTAGCCTTAATCATCAAATAGGAGATCACGACAATGGAATAAGAAGCCCAGTAAACCATTGAGAAGCGGATGTATTTCTCGATACTGTATAAACTTGCAAGTAACAAATAAGTAGAGGCTAAAGACTACAATAACGTAAAAAACATAATTAACATTATTACAAGTAGATAAGTAATATGAATTTAATTATATGATGTAGAAAATATATTAACAGTTTTTATGGTCTTTAAAATCACATGCTTACAAATGTACGTAATTCAAACATCAACCAAAACATGGCCTAAATGAATATACCTACAAACTAATTCAACAATTCATCTTACATTCACTTAACAAACATTTTCACCAAGATAAATATATCACTAGCACAGTCAAGCCGATGCTGCAATCGGCGGGCGTGTAGTGTTATGAGCACTGCTACAAGCACACGATGCGTTCAGTGAAGGCGCCTATGATGGTCATGTCGGTGGCGAGCGCGGAGCGCATCACCTGCGGGGCCACGCTATCCCGGACGCGCAGCGTGAACTCACGCCGCGCCGGCGCCGGCAGCCCACCGCCAGCCGCCGACAGTATCCTATTGCGCCCAGCCACGTCCAGCGGCTTGCCTTCTTCGCTTGTGCCGAGTACCGTCCGTAAACAAAGGGACCTGCAGGCTTCCTTCTCGGCGTCGTAAAGTTCTCGAGCCGCTATTTCAAACGTCCGTCTAGTGTCCACCCCTCCGACTGATGAATTACCACACGGTACACCCTCTTCGTGTGCTTTATTTGCTCCAGCTCGCAAAATAGCCGGCAGCAATAGTTCAATGGCACCACTGACAGTTCGTGACCTCAGAAAATGCAATACTTGCTCAGCCTCGCGGGTTTCGTCAAACAGTCTGCGCTGACGAGCCGCCGGTACGGGCCGCGCAACACTCCATGCTTCGACCCAGGGATTCCCGGGCAGTAACATCCGGTCTCCTAGCGCACCACCGTCGTCAGGTTTCCAGTCTCGCGGCGAGTACCAACGCACAAAGTCACATAACTCTGCACCAGGATTGGCCGCTTTAAATGCTTCCATGTCAGAGAGCAGCGACGCACTCATCATTCTAGCCCGAAGTTCCGACGCTTTCGCGTCATCTCCAAGACGTACCATTAGTTCTGCGTCTTCTTCTAGCTGATCTTCAGTTTTCGGTGCAGGATCCTACATTCCAAAAATAAATTATGCAAACGTTCAGTCATAACATATAAGTTAATAAAATTTAAATATTTAAATATCAATCAACAGTTAACTTTACTAATTCTGGTTTTGATAACTTTCTATTTGATAACCTCATTATTAATAAATTGTGTAGTCACGGATAGATATACAAAATACTTTCTTCCAGTAGTATAATCAAGCATAACTTACAAAGGTCAAACAAAACCACGATAAAAATATTTGAACGTTAGTCAAATAAATGTACTTTTACATTTTAAAATACAAACCTGAGTACGAGGAATATAGAGAGGCGCTCCGTTTTTTAGAGTAGCGTCACCAAATCTGTTTAGTCGTCCTACTGGTCTGTCCCAGGGCAACTGTTCTTCATTTTCTCCTTCAGAGCAATCAAAGAATTCGTCTTCGGAAGAATTGCCCGCCACACTGCCAGTGCCGTCCAAAGCACGCGTAATACAACAGTTTAGAAGTTGCAGCTTTTGATGAAGCAGACAAGTGCGCGCATTGGGCGTCCCGTCAGCAACTCTGTTGACAACAAAAAGAATAAATTTATATAGTTAAAGTAATTAACAATAATGACTATATACTAGAGGTACACACTTAGCAACAGGAAAGTCTACTACGAACCTTACATATCATCAAATGCAATACTTAGCAAGTTAGTAACTTAGTTCATACAGACATTGTAAAATCCCAAAGGTACATATCTAATTGTGAGTTACCTAAATCACATGTAGAACATAAAGACAGATCATACTTCTGCAATATAATATGTAGGTATCAGTACTTCATCAATAAAATATTGTTTAACATATTCAAAATAAGACGTATATCTAGAAGAAACAAAACAAGTAATCAAAGTTATAGCAAAAACTAAACGTATGTAAGTGTAGGCAGTGGCGAGTCGCTGTGACATCAATATAGTCGATAAGAATCAGGTCAAACCTTAACGCGTTATTATAAGGCTTTCTAGTAACCGTACTTTTATAGCTCCTAAATGAAACTCTCAGTCCTCGGTTAAAGCAAAATTCAAGCTGTGAGACGCTGGATGCTTGGGTAATTAGGTTACCTACAACATCATCTTCTTCTAAAGCGTATTGTATATGATCATATTTGAGATAGGCACATAATCAAAGGTTTGAATGCATGCCTATCCACAAAATGATGATAATAAATCTTATCAGAAATCTTTTATTCTACAAAGATTTTTGATAAGATTTACTATGCTGATACAACTTTTACTTTTTTTGTATTTCATACAATCCATTCAAAACTTTGTAAATGATATTTTTACATTCATTAACCAACGAATGTCAGGTAGGTTTGCCTACATGTCTAAACTTTCACTTTAAACGCAGTTTTAAATAGATAAATACTAGTACACTTCCTCAAAAAGAAAGCAAAATATGAATCATAGCGGATACAAAATATTTTCGCGTAACATACGGAACATGTATTTTCTCTTTCGTGTATGCAAATCCTTAAGTGCAATGCAACCACAGCACAATTGTGCAGCAATTGTGTAGCAGGCAATGTTCGGAAGTAGATGTATTGTTACGCAGTAGCCGCCTGCGCACCTGCGGCCATCCGATGGAATCAGAACGATTTGGTCTCGATTAGTGTGCCACGACCCAGAATCAACGGGAACTGAACTAAACGCGCGAACGCTCTCGGAACCGTTATCACATTGAATTACAAATGTGTTGGTGCGGCGCTGCTGGCGGGCAGAAGGCGCTCACAGTATGCTGCGTCTCTAAGATGCTCCAAGTGTAATCGGTCGGTGAACCGTTTGTTTACCGGAGCCGGTGCGGCAGCAGCCACTAGGTGTAGGTCAGGAAACACTGGTGGGGGCTAGCGCCGGCCACCAGTCCGACGCCGACGACAGCCGCGAGCGCATCCACCGCGCAGACATGGACCTGCACTGCTCGGCCTGTGTGTAACCGGTTCCTGACGCCGAAAGTGAGAGAGTTTCTATTGTGGTGATCTAGGATGAAACCTACCCGTGTACAAGAAAAATAAAAACGGACACACAGTGACAGTGCTAGAACAAAGTGATCTGTTCCTATATCGCATGATTGTTTAATGCTTGTCCAGAAGTTTTTCCTCAAAATGGTAAGTTCGCAAATAAGTTTACTAAAATATATTTATGACGAAAACCTAGCAGAGCAGGTAAAGCGTATAGGCATACACATACACAAAAAATTAAGTCTTATATTTTTACAATATAAAATATTATTGTACTTAATTAATAATAAAAAATAGGATCAAGAAAATCGCATTAGCGGTCCTCGAGTCAGTAGCGCGTGCTAATGACCTCAGGTAGTTTTTATACTATGTATGTGCATTATATGTGTAAAGTAGATAATTTTATAATTACTTCACACAGGTGCAATGTGATGTGATGTGTTTAACGAACTCTAAGCACTCCAACAATGCTGAAATCATGGTGCTAATATTTCTCACATCTGAATCGTCTTAAAGTTAAATTATCTTTCTCGTTAAAATTTTATGTTAAATATTAATTATTTTTTTACAATAATTGTCGCACTGAAAAATAAATAACCAGGTTTTAGTTGATTGTTTTACATAAGAAAAGATAGTTAGGAATCAGCAAATAGGATGACAAAAAGCCGGTAGATGGGCGTTGCTAATATTCTATTTATTCTCTTAACATAAGGTCTAATTTACTATGGGTATTAATCCTATTTCTTTCTAATTTACCTTCATTACAGAAATAGCAATACCTTACTTTGCCATCTCTCTAAATACTAAATGTGATTTTTTAATTGTTGAATGAAATTAATTATGTTAATGATATTATATTAACAGTACTTTCTATGATTATATCTACGAGTGTTATGCTTATGCTACTGACCTACATGTTAATAAGTAAGTTATACATCGTGAACATGTTCAAGTTTTCATACATTTCCATTCAGTTCTCGCACTAGGTTTGCAACGTACAGAAATTGATAATCATCTTAATATACAGAGAGTGCGGGCTGATGACCGCAAATATTTTATGTGCATAGCATGCATGTATGTATGTCATCATAAAGAGA